AGAACAATGCAGGAGGTAATTTCAAGCATATTGGATGTGACATCAGATGTAGTAGCAATAAAAGGTGCATTCATATTTTGTTATTTTGTAAGAATGTAAAACGTCCCAGTGTTGAACTGAAGGAAATTCCATCCATCCATCCATATATTGATAACTAAGGCTATTTTATCATCAGTTCAATTCAACACATAAAGGGTGTCACACATCTTTTTTTTTTATCATTTATAAATAGTTTTACAAAATAAATTGGATGCCGAAAATAATCAGTGTTTGAATAGTTTTTTTTTTAGCCTTTTCTGGCATTATGAATGTCATTCATCATTTTCACATTTATTTACTCAGTATACTCTTTTAGATTTGGGTTCATGTTTTTATTTTACAAATTTTATATGTTTATATCTTAAAGGTTACTGATAAAATTAAGGATTCAGACAGAAAATACATTTAAAAAGCAGACTGGGTTTCTGTGACATGTCGGTCATAAAATCTGTAGTTTTTCTTTGAGTATATTTAGAGGTGATTGACAGACGTATTGTGAGGAAGCTCTTTGCCTCCTCTGTGTCATCTCTCATATATTCCTCTATAAGTTTGTGTTCTGCTTGTCCAGATTAGGTCTTGGCATGTGCTATGGTTGTCCCCTCTGCTCCAGTTCGTCTCCTGAGGTGCCAGCCTGGGAGTTTTGCCTCCCTCCGGTGTGCTGTCACTCAGACCGGACGAGGTGGCGGCTCAGGCGGCGTTGTGTGGGAGAGCTCTCTGACACTTCCCACATCTTTTCCTTTGATCCCATAATTGATTGACTACAGGAGCAGAGGATAAACAGAGCCCACAAGAGCGCATTCCACTCGCCTCTCTGGAGTGGTTTAGATAAAAATGTAGAGGCCTGAGCTTTCCGTTCTCCCTTTCCTTCCTCCATACGGACATACGGCCATTGAAGGTGGCACTGTGTCATGGTGGCTTAGCTGCGGGCTGTGTCCTCAGGCCCCAGGGGCTTGCGCACTGCCCCAGAGTATATATGGCCAGCAGTAATGGGTTTGTTTAGATCACAGGAATGGAAATGAAACTCCTGAGCCTTTTCTGCAGAAACCAGGAGGCCCTATCGCTCAGGAGGCAGCGACAGAAGAGCCACACAATCTCGACCTGGCCATACTTACTTTCACAATGAGCCATGGAATAGAAAGTAGGATTTAGATCTAATTTAGGACTTCTGAACCTCAATATGCTATGAAAAAAAAAAAAGAAGAAA